TTTTTTTTTTTTTTTTTTTTTTTTTTTTTTTTTTTTTTACAGCAGCCTCCCATTAGACCCACCCCTTCCTCTGAAGGACACATTTTACATTTATATTTTATAATTCAGCCCTGATTTCAAGCCAAAATAGCCCTTTACAACTCCTTCTGTAAACATAGCTAACCTTTCCACAAAGACATGGAGCAACTGCGTCATCAATAACCAGCTATGCAAACTCTTTTAGCCTGGCTTTATCCTGCCAACTATTTCATTAATACATGACCTGAGTTGACCCTCTCCCAATTTTGAAACTTTCTTAGGTTTAAGAAAAGTGGGCATTCACTGATTTTTTTCACTTTGTTTTTGCTGTTCGTTTGATTTGTGGAGTGGTGTATAAAACTTCTTCAATACCCTTGTTAAGGCTGTATACATTTAGTCTCTTTCATTTTTTCAGGTCTCATGCTTAAGTATCACATTTTGAACCTTCTTTTGTTTGTTTGTAATACAGAGATTAGCATGCACAGATCATTACACAAATGCTCATCATCACACACTGTTAAGTGATAGAAAGCTCCCTGTATATATCCAAAAACATAAACATCTTTCTTGACACAATATTCTACTGAGCAAATCAATTTACTCTCCACAATAAATGCCTTCCTGCCCACGTGTTTCTTCATGGTTGCTTTCTAAAAGACACTACCCTACTTTATACTTAGTGTCACATGTTATTTTCATATTATAAATTAAGGGCCAGCAAAGGTCCCTACAACAAAAAGGTCTAGATTTCTGGTGCCAAAGCCAAAAGTGCAATCCAAGTTTCCCTTCTCAACAGCTGTTTAACCCTGGAAACACCTAAACTGATTACACTCCTTTTTGAGCAGAATGGTGACTTAGGTTCTATAATTCTGCCTTCCACATATGTCTGAAGCTACCCCAATCTGAACAGCTATATTCCTAGACTCCCATCTAACACTCATTTGGATCCAAAAACTGGAAGAATTGGCACCTCTCTTGTAAAACAGGGCAGCCACAGTCACTTTCAATCAAAGAGAATGTGGTAACAGTTGTGCTCATCTTTTATAAAGCATTCACCCAGTAAGAGGGAGACCTGGGTATTGTACCTTCCTGAACCTGCAGGGATTCAACTGTATACCAGTCACCTCCCAGGAGAATGCCAGCACCACTCTCTAGAGTAGGCTGGGGGGGCCTTCACCCATCCTGCTGAAGTTGTGGCACTGCAGCAACAAATGCAGGATTCACAGAACCAGACTCAATCTGACCCATTAGGGTAGCAGTGAGAGCACTCAGCTGGGAAGAGGGAGCTCTCTGTTACATATCTTTTTTATTTTTCTGTTTTTATTATTCTGGAACAATGACTGTTTCATGCAAAAATGCATTAGTCAGCAAAGACTGTAACTCAGAATTTCCCCTCCCTGCTGAAAACTTTAACTTCTATATGAGGATTGTCCAGCTGGTGGCTCAGACCAAATATGGCCCATGAAGGGTTAAGCTGCAGTCCTGTCAGCCACTATCACTGTGGCCGCATTAGCAGCCAGACGCTCCAGGCTCTCGTTCCTCTGGCTTCTGCTTCCTGGGGCTGGCCAATGAAGAATGGCACAAAATTGAGGGCAAACCAGAGGGTGTGCAGATGTATGTCTGTTGGGGGATGGAAGGAGCAGTGCAGGGGACACTATGAGGTGTCGGTATCGCATGTGTCCCAGAACCTATGGCCCCACACCAATGCAGCCTACCCAGCTTGCAGCCACCCCCCCACCAGCCATGCAGAAGTTGGACAGCCTTGTTTTAGAGTACAGTCAGGCTAACATACGCAATATTGGGGTTATGATGCCAGCCCAAACTAGCCTGTGGCTTCATAGTTAGGTCATGCTCCTGGGATGTGGCAGATGTGAATCCTCCTGGATGAGGACAGCCTAGACCTCAGCCTCTCCTAGATCTCAGGTCTCTTACTTCCTACATGAGTGCTCTAACCACTGGGCTGGCACTGTCACCAGTACCTCCCCCTCATCTTACAGCTACAATGTAAGAAGAGTGAATCCCACTCTTCTCCTTTCAAAAAATACTCGTAAGGATTTACCCTCAGGACAGGGTTCCCATCTCTGGATCCCAAATGGAAAGTTGTATCCCTTCCAGTCCTGACTCAAAACCCAAGCTCCAGAGGGAAGCTGTAATGCAGACACATCCCTGTGCTCAGCATTCCCTACTATCTAACCCTAAGGTAGCTCTTTGCTCAGACTTTTCTAAGGCACTTAACTCTCCCTGTGCCATGTATACGAAGAAGCCTAGTGTTTCTTCAGCCTTTTGAATTCCATTCTGGGAGTCAAGCACTTTAAGTTTAGCCACTGCAGCATCTAACTTGAATGGACCAAAGTCCTTTAGATCCAACTTTAAATTACATTTAAATTGTCTTCACTTGAAACTGAGTTCCTTTTTTATTTGAATAAATTAGTCTCGTTAGAGAACATATATAGAAGGGTACTGATTATGAATTTCTAATTAGTGAACCAGTTCATGTAATACCTTTTCCATAACACAGACTTAAGAAATATATTTCCCTTATTCATATAATCTACCCTAGACATACAAGCATTGGCTACTAGTTATGTAGTCTTCCCTTTGTAAGTAGCTCTTTGCAAAGATATTACAATGCATCAACCACAGAAACAACTTTCTCCCAAATGAACAGATGATCTTCTGCAATGCAGATCAGTGAAATAAAAGGGACAGTTCAAAGATGCTCAAATATACTTTGTCAGCCAAAAAAGATTTGTTATTATTTACCCTGTACTGCATAAGATGCCAGGACAACAGCAGAATTAAGAGGGCATGTCAACCTAGAAGGAGAAAAATAATTTCATTTACGTACATAGAGAATAAACAGGTAAAACATTAACTGTGTCTCTACAAATAATATTTTTCATAAAAAATAATATGTATGTTTAAAATTTCATTTTTACTTTTTTTTTTTTTAATAAAGAAAAGACTGTAGTCACAGGATAGTAGGAAGATAAAAGCAAGTTGCTGTATAACAGATCACTAACTGAATGGAAAGAACTTGTCTTAAATGGACATGTTCATATCCTTGCTGAATGCTTATTTTGGAAAGCAAAAAGGAAAGGGGATTTTGTGCACTGGACATTATTTTAATAGCTGCTGTGTAGTATTTTTAACACTGAAAGTGCCAGGCATTCATAAGGACACACTAATCCCGAACTGAGAGAGGAAAACTTGCTCCCAATTACTAAAAGAAAATAGGTGACAGGACAAGTCAGAACAGGAAATATGAGCTTGTGGCCACTGAGCAAGCCCCATCCAAAAAACCCACAAAAACAAGGGTGGCCATCTATCATTCACCTAAGAGTTGGTATAGTGAGCATGGTACTCCCTGTGTGGAGGGGATCCCTCATTGAGTTCATGCCCTCCTGTCATACAAGTTCAGCTACAAACAGTTTCCTTAATGGAACATTAATTTGTTTAATTAATAATCAACCCATTCTATGGATGTTTGCAACACTAACATTTCCTGAGTTTTAAAATAATATTTTGAAAAAAAAAAAACTTATTTTTTAACAGCAGAAAATCATATTTTCCTCAATAAGCCATTCCTATTTATGCCCAGATTTTGGAAAAGAAACTGCAATGATTTCTCTTATTACCTTCCTTCCAAAATATCTGTTTTCAGCTGTAGGAAGAATAAATGCCTAGAAAGAACAAAAATTGGAAAACAGTCAATTCATGCAGAAATTTAAATCAAGGTATGACAATTTTTAAGAAATCTATTCATAAAATGAAAGCATTTATTTACTTACAAAAACTATATAAAAAACAACATACGCCTACTGGTAACTACATGCCTCCTTTACCTCACAAGGCATTTAAAAGTTCCTTTGCCATCCATATAAGAGTCTGTTTCAATCCTGAATCAATATAAAATGTGTAAAGCATGCTGTTTCAGTCTCAAGTTTCAAGAGTTATCAATTCTAACTATAATAATCAATAACCCACTTTTGGGGATAATGATTTATTTATTTTAAATTAGTGGTCTTTTGTGCCATTATTCTTAATAAAGTTAAAATTTCTTCTTCAGCAGAAGCTGACAAATGTTCTTTAAAGGAATTCCTGAGAGCAACCTCGCTTCATTTCCCATTAAGAAAAATCAAAGAGGGTGTTTACTGAGAAAGAAACCTGTTCCTACAGTGACACCATGAGAAGAAACAATTAAAGAAAAAATGGTTTTAAATAAATACGTTTAGGATTAAGACTTTAATTATGTATGCAGTTGTGATTGCATGAAATTGCTACAGAGCAGGAGTTAAGGTTGTCTAGGTGGCCTTAACTGCATTTGCATATTTTAATATCTTTGAATTTCTTTTAAATATTACCTTGACTCTGAATTTCCTGGATGTATAATTTGTTTTGGAATAAGTATCTCACTGAAGATTGAAAGCATTTATCAGTAAATTAAGGGTTTTAACAATAAAGGTAAATTGGTTGCCCCCCAACCTTCCATGAAATACTGTATAACCTTTTTACTTGCATGGGATGGGAAGAGAACTACGAGTCCTTATGTATTTCTAAATTAAAATGTATTATGTTTAATTAGCTTCATTCTGGTTAACACCCTTAATGACAATGAAAACCCCTAGGGGCGCATCCACACATGCAAGCACGTCTGCTTGCAGCAACTCAAATAAAAGCGGTGTAAATTTAAGCCAGGGCTTTTTGCCTCAGCGCATGTACCTGGACATACACTTTGGTGTGGGGCAAACTGTGCCACTTGGGGCAAAACAACCTTGCCTGGCTCCTTCTGGATCTGCAGCCAGGGGGAGCTAGAGCCCAGGGCCAGCACCTGTGCTGTCCCCAGCAGTATAAAAAGCTGCCCTGTCAAGTAACTCAGGCCTACTCGCTCTCAGGAGCTTCTGGGGCTCAGCCAACTGATACCTGGGGACACTACCCCTTGTGCCAGCTGAAGCAGCCCTGAGAGTTCCCTGCACCCTTTACCTACTGCAGCAGCCTGGCAGTGGGGGCTGCTGCCTGCCTGTGACCTGCTGCCCACTTGCCAGACACAGATGGGGACTACAGGGCCAGTAGAGGCTTCTGCCTCTCTGGACCAGCTGCCCATGGACTGTAGCTGCCAAGTTGGCCTTTGTGCAGCACTGCTGTCATTTGTGCCCCCTGCCCAGCCATCTGGGCAGCTATCACCCGGAAGATGTTCCAGGTGCGGTGGCCTGCTTTGAACTGTCAAAGCATGTCTTCCTGGCCCCAATTGGCCAGGAGGTCAGCCACCTCCAGCTCGGTCCAAAGTGCCAGCTCTGAGCAGGCAGGGTCCTGCCACTGGCCTCCCTAGCACGAATTCTGGTGTTCCCTATTGGAAAACTGAAAAATCCCTGATTAAAAAAACCCAAAGTCACTCTGTAAAATACCCCGAAATCCATGTTTCTCCACAACTAAAACAGAAGACCACGACAGACAGACAGACAGACACCAGTTGGACAATGTTTTATTGATATATCTACAATGTTAA